TGTGTTGCAAGCAAACATGCAAATGCTCAGATGGGTGCCGGCCTTTTCCTACTAGAGTAAAAGGACAATATCATAGTTATCTAACTCAAAAGATAGATAGATAGATAGATAGATAGATAGATATAGATAAAGAGAGAGACAGAGAGACAGAGAGATAAGAAATGACTGAGATGGATAAGGAAAAATAATTGAAAATAAAAAAATTGTTTAACGTATGCACAGAGATATGATTCTCACATGTGCATTTTAATATGAACTTAAGATAAACAGTTTGAAATAAACCGCAGTCAACACCAAGTGGTGATGATCTGTTTCATGACTGAATGCAAACTTCAGGCCGTGAACATTGACTTCACAAATGAAACAGACTATCGGCAATCGGTGTTGACCACAGTGTCTTCTGTTACTCGCACACACGTTGTACATAGATACATATATATATATTAATTTTTTTTAGATATCTACATTTCCATCAAGCATTAAAATCTATTCTTTACATAAATTGCTAAAACCCGATTACAGCCTCTTTCTCTTTACTTCCCTCTCCCTCTTCTTTCTTTTTCTTTTTTTCCTTTTTTCTTTTCTCCCTACTCCATTTCAATATATCATTTTATTTTTGGAAATGCTATCTGATGATCCGGCGTCCTTTAAAAGGACTCTGGTGAAATAAATTATTATAATGGTATCTTAAAGTGGTCTGTTTTTCTTTTAAATATTAGCTCTGGATTTACATTGAGCTCTCAGGATTTCATCTTCCTTGGGATTACCCATACAGATTACCAAGTTCTTTATAAGTTTATATATATATATATATATATATATATATATATATATATATATATATATACGTAAATTTAAGAAAGGATTTAAAACAAGAAAATATAATTCCTCAGAAACCTCCAAATAACAGAATTATTAATAAGAATACAAGGTATCCTGTCCAACTCTTGTTAAAGGGTGCAGTGGGTGGAGAAATCATTAAGGTACGATTGACTTATCTCGTAATTAAGTTGACGTTTCTGAAAAGGGGGACAAAGTAGTTCCAACTCATGTATAAACCAGTGAATTTTGATTTATGGCAAACACTAGTTATATATTTACTTTCTGTTCGTTCCACCAGAACATCAAAAAGGGAAGAGAATTATTTTCTACTACCTCCTTCCTGAAAACCAATACTGGGTGTAAAGCATTTAAATGTTGGCGAAACAGAGTTGCCTCGTTTATGCTATCAAACATAGACAATGTGTCGTCGACATAACATAAATAAACATAAGGTTTCCGACATTTCTCAAATAATAGGTTCCCGTAGTATCCAAAAAAAATGTCGGCTAAATATGGACTCATAGAAACCCCGTCGAAATGAGCAAACATAATATCGCCAAAGCTGAACTCTACCCGTTCTGTTGTTAAATTCATGAATTAGAAAAATAGGGGTTCAGGAATAAAGGCAGAACCCAAGCAAACTCTATAGAGTGCGTTTGCTCATGTCTGTACAGTTTCTTGAAGGGGTAATTTGTATAAAGATTTACAATATCGAAGGAAACTAATATTTTATCACTAGAATTTACAGAGCAATTTCGAGTAAAGTATCAAATAGTGACTGAGTTTTGAATACATTAAGTTTAAAAATGGTCGAAAACAGGTTTAAGTAAGTTTGCTAACCATTTGGCTAGCTCATGCTTTGCTCAACCCGTCATAGAAAGGAAGGCTCTTAAGGGCATATCATTTTTATGAACGTTAGGCAACCCGTATAGCCGAGGTCGCTGAGAACCGACAGGCCGAATTCGGTTATAGTATCGTTACATAAAAGATTGCTTTTATATGTAATTAATAACCGTTTTTGGAGCTTTACTTCCAATTTATAGGTGCAATCACAAGTTTCGGAAAGACTAATTAAACGAAACTTAGACGCATCTAAAATGGCATTCATATATATATATATATATATATATATATATATATATATATGGTTTGTGCGTGCTTGTATTCAATGTCCACTTAATTACGTACATGTGAACAAATGATCTTTTATGCGAGTATCTGATTATATTGTTTCCAAAATACAATTTCTGTCGTAAAAACTTATCGTTTTCAGGCTATAATGAGATTTCAAGGCAATGTATTTACTGTCCACTTAATGGGGTACAAATGATATTCCATGGAAATTTCTAATCAATCAAAGTTTTGCCAGACATTTATCACATTTCAGATATTATTATATATTAATAATATATCATTTTTTTATTGGGTCCACCTCTTTGAGATGTTATCCCTGTTTACATTTTCTTAAACAGCAGAATTAATAACAAAAAGTCCAATTTTTCTTTAGTAAGCGTTCTCGATCTAGACTGGTTGTTAATATTTTCATTGTTTCAGTACGTAGTAAAAACATGAAAAGAAACACCAAAAAATAATGACTAAAAAGTAATCAATCTCATAGTAATAAGACGTAATGCTGCATTTAACATATTCATAGAAAATTGACTGTCATTTCCGTTAGGTGTATAAAACAGAAGATACCAGTTATAAGTTCCTAGAATTCCAATTGATTTATATGCGGTTCTTACATAGGTATGAACTCCCGTGGACAAACACATAGCGCCACTTTTCGTCTATAGAAGCGTTTACTCTGGAAAAAATCCGGATAGAATTTCGATTTCTGTTCGAAGAATACAGTTTTTCTTTCGTAGTATAACTCTATCTAAGGCCATTTTCATTAATTTCACTGTTTAAGAAAATAAATAAAAAATAGAGATTGCCACACAAAAAGATGGACATTATAAAAATAACGACTATAGTCTTACCCCCACCCCAACCCAGGAACTTGAGATCATCCATTAATCAGTGTCAAAATTGATGACAGACCAAAACATACTCTGATGTACCGTTCCGTAGAACGAATTTTCAATACACGAGAGTTGACTGATCTTACATGTCGGAAGCTCATCAGTCTTTTCAAACATCTGCCCTCAACTCGAAATGGATATTTTCGGGAAGTGAGTGTTTTATAAAATAAAATCCAACAAAATCCGAACAGCCAACCCTGGTTCAGACCTGAATGTTCTGCAGTCATAATATACCTTAACCACTAGTAAACTATCTATTACAGAGAAGGGTATAGTAGGACACTTGCTATATTCAATAAACAAGCATTACAGGCCAAGGAAGAAAGAAAACAACTTGGATTCCAGGGTTTTTAGAAGAACTTCATCCAAAATCTGAATCGAGTCAAAACGTCGTTGTTTACTCTCATCAGTACTTAGCTGATCTCCTCATCGTCAGATAAGGCAAAGCATTCATCACATTCTTTGCCTCTAACTCAACATAAGATGACAAAAGACATCCACTCCTCCCCATCTCCCTGAGAATAATCTCAGTAATATTTTATTACAGCTTGAGAAGTCACAAGTTTTACCAAAAGTCTCAACAACTATCAGATAAAATGACAACTATCAGATAAAAGTCTTGTGGTTGTCCTAAGGAATATTTATCTAATTTATAACGGATCATAGCGAAATAACTGCTGCCGAACGGTGAAATCCTTGCCAAGTCTTTGGAAGGCACCAAGTATATAATTTGTCTTAATGAATGCGGGTGAGTGCCGATTCTCGACTCAATATAGACCCAATAGCCAGTTCAGTGTCATTAAAAATTATTTGAAGATATAATCTAAAAAAGGTTATTGATCAGCTGAATAGGAACAAACTCTTGAATGAGTAGCTGTAGAAATTTTGATCAGCTCACTCCATCGCTGATATCTTAAATGTCATTACTGACAGAATCAGTGAGACACTAGACACAACAAACACATCGCATTATTTATTTCAAAGGCATTTAACAAGGTGTGGCATAGAGACTTATTGCACAATATCTTTAAGTGTGTGATCACAGAAGCATTTTATCAATTATCAAGTCTTTCCTAATGAGTAAGTAGTTGTTAACAGCCAGTCCTCCGAAGCGATCTAGGTAGGCGTCCGTCCGCCAAGTCCCACGTCAACGTTCAACCCCCTTTTTTTTTTACTTTGCATTAATTATCTGCCTAAACAGTATAGTCCAATCATTTGTGAATATCTGTGCTGATGATAAAACGTTATATGGTTGCGCCTTGCCGATTCTAGATGACCAGAAGCTTGCAGCTGATTAAGATTCAACACCTCAATGGGAGACAAACCTGGCTGGGAACACTTATTGTCTCGAAAACAAAAAAAACTAGGGACGCTCCATTATCATCGAGCGGACTCTGAATTTTCACTTATCGCTATGAACGAGAGTTCTCTTAGGGTGTGACTGTACATTGAGCATCTATTGTGACTTAAGCTCAACCTAGACTTCAACTTGAAATCGTAAATACAATCCATCCTTAAAGCTACTGGGAAAATGGTTGGCTTCCTGTTCCGCTCCAGGAAATAACTGATTCCTCCGGCTATACTTTTCGTTTACAATACCCAGATCAATCTAAAAATGGAGTAATTCTGTCATATAAGGTTAAGATATGCCCAGTCTTCATTTTCCAGTTTCGATAGAATTCATAATCGTTAGGATATAGTTGAAATTGATGCTCCAATTATGAATGCGCAGTCAATCAGTCCAGAATACCATAGTACTATGATCATAAATGTATAAATATTGCTTACAGTGCATTCTCCAGTTAACACCAAAAATAAATCAGCTCTTTCTAAGAAGTAAAGGGGGATCAACAGGGTACTGTGAAGGGGATAGCAAATAAAATGACGCATGATTCTCTACAAAAGAGAAAGAGTATTACTTACTTTAAATCGATAAACTATGGCAAAATTTATTTGTAAAAAGTAATATGTCTGCATTTGAAAGTTTATTCCACTGACACATTTTGGTTGAATTGGGAAGAGAGAGAAAGAATGAATTCATTTATATTTGTTTTTATTTATGAGTACAGCGCTTCCTTCATGTTCTCTTCGATTTGATTAAGAATATCCGAATCCAATTTTCCAAAAATAGTTGTAGAGAAATAGAATTCGTTAAACCATCCAAACCCAAAATGCTCTATTCTCTAAAACTCATCGCTTCTTCTAAAGATATGTGCCTTCCGTTTCCCTGAATGTAACTGATGTAGTTAGTGTTTCTTAACAGAAAAAGAAAAATAATTAGGATGAAATTCCGCAAGTAATTTGCTATGGATTTCTAATTCCAACAAATGAGCAAATTTTCAAAGCTCCGTCGGGATTACTACTTGAGCCATAACTATCTTCTTTATCATAGTCATGGATGAGATGTTAGTTGAAAAATTGTGCGGAAAGGATGCCTTCAGAAACAAATCATATGAAATATAAATGGATCGCGCCCTAAATAGTTCCAACTTCCAAATAGCGTTTCTAAGATCTTAAATTGACGAGAGAAAAATAATTGACGGTGATGCTCGCTTAAATGATTTTTGAACTTTTATTTTTTTTTTTTTTGTTTTATCTCGCGTTTTTTTGTATTTCGTGTTCTATATATAAGCTAAATAAATTGTTCATAATATTTCCTGATCGAGAAAATTATTTCCTTATTATAGAAAAAAAACAAATTTAAAAATTATTAGCTAAATATTCCTACAACGTGATTTTTTCCGCAGATTATCTAACTACTGTCACCATCATCAATTCTGGTTTTCCTTAAATTACATTTGATAATCGTTTAGTAATAGAACCGTATTAAGACAATCCTTATTATATTACTTAACGTCACATTAAACTTCATTCATTACATCTTTGTCAGGTTGTATCTTGTTTAAACAACTTGTAAGTAAATATTGCAATGTTAAAAGTTCAAATGAGATTTATTGAATACTATATGACAATTTAACTTATAACCGAAATCAAACGCGATTTAATTAGTCGATTAAAATATTTATGAAAATATTAATATATTATCAAAGTAACGAAAGAATAAAAATGGCGCCCTCACCACAGAATTCAGATTATTTCAGAAGAAAAATACTCAAATAAATTTCTACATCTCGGACGAAAAATCTCAAGAACTTTTATGGAAAATTATTTTGGACACATTAGTTAAATAAACGAGAGAAGGGAATAAGTAATTTATTCTCAAATATATTTTAAGCTGGAATTTTGCACTGAAGTAACAGACTGCAAGATTTCGTTATCTATTGCCCTTTAGTGAGTCCTATCATTTGTACACTGTATGGTTGTGGGTTTATAATTAGTTTCATGAAATAGCAATCGATTGACCAGATCTAATCCTGTAGAACAAATAAAATAATTTTCTCTAATAGCCGGGAATTGATTTATATTCAGCATTCTTCTTATTGCGTGATGAGGAAAAAGGCAAACGATATACCATGATGTCGAAAGCAAGAGACTTGTGTCTTGTTTGATAATGTGTTAAAGTAAAACAGAGACAAACAATCTGTACATGGGGGGGGATTTCAGTTTTACTTCAAATAAGTCTCTCGGGCATCGATTGAATTTATTTTTGCTAAATAAAAACAACTTCAGGTTACGAGAATAGGAGTTTTAATGAAATTGAGATAGAATACACCAGGAGCAAAGTGATGACGACGACGAAAAGATATGAATAAAATTAATAAACATTTCTATTGAAATATTTCTATAGTGTTTCCAAAAATTTGGAGGACGCCCTAATATGTCATGAAAATTCACGCTGTTTTCGTTGTGATTATGCTTACGTAAATTCACGTGAATCAGAATATAATGTATTTCAGAGATTAACCTTGATATGATATAAAATGTATAGTATTATATTCTAACTCATACGAATTTACGTGAGGGTAGTAACAATGGAAACTCACACACACATTTCCATCCATATACACACATATACATATATAGAAGTATCTATCTATATTTTCAGAAGGGGAAATATAGACCCTTTTCACCTGAACTTGTATTTGAGTTAACCCTATAGAATCTACACAAAACGTGCTATTAAATTCTCTTCCTCGCTGATTATATGTGAAGAAAAATGCTGAAATGGATTGATGTTCTTTGAATTAAGTCGATATGTATTTCACACCGAAAATGAGGCTGGATTGCCAATTTTGATAGAATAAAAATTACCGAATACTGATTATCAATGAAGATATATAATAATATGGGACTTTGAAAAAATGGAATATTGGAAAAACACTATTTTTCTGTAGTTAAATGTTTGCAAATCTTTTATGATATTGCTATTTCGTTCATGTCGTAGTTTTTCAGTAGAAGCATATACATTGTATCTATAAATATTAGTAGATTCATATATAGAGATAAATATAAATCATGGATTATTTTAAAAAATCTATGTATGTTAAACATTTTGAGAAAAAAAAACAGTTGCTCAGAAACTTGTCAACTGGGCAACATTACCTGGTAGAAAGATTTTATTATTTGCATCGTAATGGCGCTTCTTGTGACTTTCATTCAGAGAGGGCGCTGCAAGGGTTCAGTGATAATTTCCGGGCTCACCATCGTCTCGGCCAGAGTTGCCCTGACACCCCGGGCGGTTATTTTGACACGCGAACCAATCAAATTGAAGCACGCGTTCCTCTCTTCCAGTGAGCTAGCGAAGGCCTGAAAGAACGCGTATAATTACAATCGTCGACGAGGAGTGTTCAGGCAAACAACACGTTCAGTCATGTTTGCAAACAAACCCCCATATATATATATATATATATATATATATATATATATATATTAAACACTTTTTAGAATATTCCTTACATACACGTGTAATTATGAAAGATCTTCGTATGCATATATGTATAAGGAAAGAAATGGTTTTGAATATATCGAAAATAACGTTCATCTTTCCGATATAACCACATAACAGAAATTGCCAGTATATCCTCAAATTTTAATAAGACATACTTCTTAAATTATCATTTTTTATTTATCTTAATCGCTCCGTCAATTCCTTCCAATTACTTTAATGGTTTAATATTCCAACTCGATAATCGATCAGATTAAATAAATTGGCCCACTTCTATTTTGGATAATATATAACTCTTGACTCACTGAAAATGGAATTTGCTTAAAAATCGGGTATGTCTTAAAGAAACGAATGAAATGCATTCTAAAATAAAATAAAAATATATCTACAAAACATAATGAGTATTTCTCAAATATGGTAATAAGATACCTAAAGCATCTGAAAATTAAAACGACTGCAATAACTTTTTTAGGGTTGTCCATAAAGGGAGACAACTCTACAACCGAAACTAGAGACTAATAATAAAATACATGTCAGTTATAAGATTTAATATTGTGCACAATTCGTTTGTCAATGAATTCCACGTTCTTATGTCATACCGATATAAAAAGCTAAAGGTAGTAAATATGTAACTGCTTTTACATCTGACCTTGTTGTTCTTCTTCATTGTAAATGCAATTCTGTTATCCCTGCTAATAGCATTCACTATTTGCTCCATCAGTATTATAATTTTGCATCTTCGTGGTGAATTGTCTGAAACTGAGTGACTTGTGTCAGGCTTAACACAACTGAAAGAAAACAAAACAAAAATAGCAACTGCTTCTACCAGAAAGAATTTTAACGGTGGAAATTTTGAAAGGACAAAGGCATCACTTGCGAGACGAGCCGAAATATATCGCCATTTATTCGTTTCTGTGTTTCGGCGAAATGTATTACATTCCCGAATAAAATTGAGCTGAAAATCCTAGCCTCAACTGGCTTATCCAGGCTGAATAGATATCACGTAAGCTCTCATGAATTCCTTTTATCCTCATGTTCACTTGGTTGTCAAAAAAATTAAAACACTATTAATATTACTATAAAATATTAATAATAGCCTGTCTGTTTCACGGTAAATGATATTCTTATTATTTCACGGTTGGTTCTGTTATAACCTAAAATAATAAACTCTTAATTGAGGTAGACAGATAATCCGGTAATTATTTTTATTCCTATATTGAGAAAAAATTGAACTTTGTGTCCTACCCCACTGTGGGAAATTTAAATATCTATACATTTTCTTTCAGGCATACGGCATCAATTGTAGATACTGTTTTTTCAGAAAATATCTTTATTGAAAGTCCTCAATTTCATATCTATTTTTCTCTTTTGTTTTCAATTCTAAAAGAATTATATAAAAACGTTGGACTACTGAATCTCTGGCTAGTCATAGAAAGTTCGGTTCTATTGCTTTTCTGTAAAAAAAATTTATCAGAGATTTCACGTTCAACTCTAGTTGCCATTATAATCTCTAGTACTACAAAATGCCTATTCCCTATGGCATTTACATCTATTCCGGCACTTAACATTTGTATTGAATTTTGATCATACATAGGCAGTATTTTGGTCTGGAGGTATTTTTTTTTTCATGAAACAATAGCGTAGCATTATCGTTTATTTTTCTTATATATATGTAGCAGAGTTTTCTTGTAACTGAAATATATTTTAAGATTACCAAAGAAATAAACCCCTACAAAAAATCACACACACAAACTCATATGTGTATGTGTATTTCTATATGCATGTGGTTACATGATTACATATCATAAATGTGGACAAATATACAACACGGATTTAATATCTATATCTATACGTATATCTAATTATATATTAGTATATATGTTGATATCAAAAAAATAAATAATAAATCGTATTCTTTTTAAGTGGCATCGTTCGCAATAGCCGTTACACATGACGTCAAGCTAGACTATATCAAACGACCTGCTTCTGATAGAATAACAGGATGTAGACAAAAGAATAGTTACTAAAACACAGTCACCACATTGGTTATTGATGACCGCAAAAGTCGAAATTACTTGAACAATAAATGCAAAAATTAACTTAAATTGACAGATTATACACAACTTTAAACAAATTAGTCAACATCTTAGCTAAAAATATGAAAAATATTAAAATGATAAGCCGATAAATATTGTCGTTTTCTTTGTAATCTAACTTTTATATATATATATATATATATATATATATATATATATATATTTGTATATATATATATATATTTGTATATATATATATTGAATATATATATATTGTGTATATATATATAGTATATATATATATATATTGTATACATATATATTATATATATATATATATTAATATATATATATATATATATATATATATATATATATATATATATATATATATATATATATATAATAAAAGCTCTGTCTCACGCTTCATTGTAGCTAACATTTTTTCTGATATTTTGAATATTAGATATTGTACAGAAGTAATACTTAGCACAGTGAAAGATTCTAAGTGACAGATATTCCATGACAAATGATAAGCTATGTATTTTAAAGCGATTCCATTTCTATCACGCTTTATTGCAGTTGTACAAATTTAAGGTATTGAAATAAGCTATTATTTTTATATTACTATTTTATTGTAATAATGAAGCACGTGACTATAGAATGAAAGCAGATTATATAGAAAAAACACAATTAGATTGCTGGTGATATACTTTATTTGTCTACGTAACTTCCATGTTTTGAAATTACATCAGTAATTTTTGCACAGAAGTTGTTTACCGATTAATTTGAGAAGATATTATGATACCGGAAACAGATTTGATTTTTTTACAATAGGTTAATTCGATGAAAAACTGAACACCCTCTTTATAAGTTTTCCTTATCAAATTTGACAAGAGCTGCTCGATAGGGTCAGGAGAAGAAGTGGGCCAAGTTATATGTGTTTGTCCTTTGAATCTCAAAGTTGTGAGGTATGAAATTGTCCGAAAAGCTCATTTTGCCACCCAAAACAAAACACTACCGCCTCCTTGTTGACGCCGAATGCGAGGCGGGCGAGAGGCTCCAAGTTGTACCCCAGCTTTGGCCCAATCATCAGGGAAATCCAAGGTCTTTTTTCGCTTGTCTACGTACTTTTCGAATGTCACGCTGGGATAGACATTTCTCGTTCCTTTATCTTGTCTTGGTTTGATCATGAAGTTTACCACGTATGAATTCAGTGTTCTTATATCCCGACCAAGCTTTTTGGCTAATTGACCCAAAGATACGCCTTCTGCGAGAACTGCAAGAATCCGTGTCTTTGCTGAAACTGCCAGACGTCGTTTCAGTAGTATTCATGTACACCTGCGATAAATTGACACAGTTAGAAATATTTTCATGTACATAATGCTGCATATAGCGTAGCAATATAATGAAAATTTTACTGTACACTTACCAACTAAATATCTTACATTGTACCAAATTTAAGTTTTGGAAAATGTTTAATATTCAAAATATCAACCAAAATGTGACCTACAATAAAGCATGAAACAATTTTATATAAACATATGAGATCAAACAATATACATCTCACTCTTTCTCTTTCTCTCTTTTATATATATATATATATATATATATATATATATATATATATATATATATATATATATATATGTATATATATATATATATAAAAAAATATAGTCTTAATGTGTGCTATATTTATGGATAAAGTGCCCAATATCAGAGATAGAGCGTGTGTAATCATAAAAGTGAACATTGAAGTAAACACTTAGAGGTGACAGTCTGTTTCATGCTAGACGCAATCGGGACCTGACGACTGCGTCTAGCGTGAAACTGACTGTCACCTCTAAGTATTGACTTCAATGTTCACTTTCATATATATATATATATATATATATATATATATATATATATTTATTATTATTATTATTATTATTATTATTATTATTATTATTATTATTATTATTATTATACATTACAATAAATCATTTTACAAAAACTTTCAAGTTTCAGTACTAAGATGCTACTTCTTCAGGCGATGGAAGATAAGTTGTGATAAAAATGATTTATTGGGGATTTTTTTTAAATCTTTACCTGTTTTCGCATGTTAAAATGGAGCATAAGGGCAGAATTGAAATTATACTTATGATTATGACGAAGTTAACCAATAAATGTCAGCTGTACGCTAAAATATAAAAAGAAAGTCAGAGGGTGGAGGTGGGTGGGTTGTTTTCATCTCATGAAAACTGTTTCTTGGCCATGTCATTCAACGATACTAGGGAACCATTGGAGCGACAAATGTATTATTGGTGTATGATTTGCTGAATTTATCTGAAACGGTATATATATATATATATATATATATATATATATATATATATATATATATATATATATATATAAATTGATTTATTTAAAATATATGTTTTTTCGCTACACTGTTCTAACCATGTTTCAAAAATGGAAGCTAAAATCCACGAATTTAATTTTGTAATTAAATTAAAGACATTAGTTCCATTTCATCCTCAAGCGAATTTTGGAGTAACTTTTAAAATTACTAGGTTTTAAAGACACAGCTAAAATCATAATTCACGTTTCCAAGGTTACAGAAGAACAACGGATTATATATCTTACTGTTCTTTTATATATATATATATATATATATATATATATATATATATATATATATATATATATATATATATATAGTGAATCCATAAAGATCGTGTGTACTTTTAAAAATTTATAACTTTTATTTGTGTTTGCGATAGAAATAAGCTGTAAAAAAAGTTATAATATTAAATGTACCTAGTTTTAAGTATAGTTATTGAATAATTCTTTACCACAGAATTTGCGTGTTAGAGAGTTTCTAAATCAGGAATTTCCTAACAGATGGATCGGAAGTCGTGGACCATTTTATTGGCCTCCATGTTCGCCCGATTTGACTCTATTAGATTTTTTATGGGGACATATGAAAACAATTGTGTATGCAACCAAACTTAGTTCATCAGAAAATTTGAAAGCTAAAATAACTAATGTGGTTTCAGGCATTACTGTAAATCAGTTGGCAAATGTTTTCCGTAAACTGCAAAATCGTATTACCCTTTGTATTGCTAATGATGGAGGATATGTGGAAACTTAAAGAAAATTTAAATAAAACCTTAAAAAATATACATTTACTTCTTTCTAATCCATTTTACAAATTATTTCTATCACAAATACAAATAAAGTTAGAATTTTTTACAGTGCACACGAACTTTATAGACACCCTGTATATATATATATATATATATATATATATATATATATATGTGTGTGTGTGTGTGTGTGTGTGTGTGTGTGTGTGTGTGTGTGTGCGTATTAATGTATATTTGAGCAGCAACCTTTGCTTTAAACATGTCTCGCTGAATATGACAGAAATGGAAAATATTATAATTTATTATTTAGTTTGTCACATACAAGCAATCATATATTTATGTATATTATATGTACGACAAGACGAATTATGAACGTATTGTTGGCATATTTGGAAATAATGTTATCCAACCTTCTTTGAGTATAATTGTATTTTCCTCGTCACACACGCATGCGCACATACATAAAGCAACACATGTCAATTCATTTTCTTCAACCTGACTAAAGATAGAAAACATCACAAACGTGTAGAAAAACAAATCAAAAACATGATAGCTTTCTACAGAAATATTAAATCAATGTATCCAAAAGAAAAAGGCCCTCAAAGGCAACAAATAAATAACCTGGTGTTTTTCTTTTTCTTTTGTTTCATAAAGTCTTTTTACGCTTTGTCTTGCCTTTTCTTCCAGATCAACATATTTATAAATGTATACACTGCTGAAAATGCTCTTATTTACAAGCTTTTATACGCGAAGAATGCCGCGGGGAAATTAGAGCCCAACACATATACGTATATAAATGTATGTCTTTTCCTATTAAATAGAAGAGACCTTCAATAAATATTGCAATATTGCTTTACTTATAAAATGTATGATTTTAAGGTTAATTTTCGGAATTCACTTTTCGATAATGGTCTTCCACCGAGCAAGTTCTTTTTCGTGTTCGCACATTCCTTTCTGTAATTAAAAATAATGGTTTCATTTTTTCGCTTTGTTTTCTGGTATTTTTCTTACATTGTTCGATTCTATCAAGTCTTGCTTTTGAACCAACTTTCTTAAATTCTTCTACTTTCTCTTTCGCTATCTTTATCGGTTCTATCATCCGCAGAACACGTTAATATCTTAATTCCTGCTTAATGTCATCCATCGATTATTTAGTTATCTGTGTATTTTCCAACCGTACTTTTAATCCGGTATACTTTCTTTTGCAGTCCATTGATCTTTCCACATCCCATCAAATATTGCAGGTTAACTCAGATGATGAGAGAATCTAAATGAATTCTAATTGTGTTACGTGTATATACGAAACACTTAAGAAATAAATTAAGAAAAAAATGTAATTCAGTCATTCCTCAATACAATTAAATGGCAGTTCAAAATACTATTACAAATTTCAGTAGATAATGTCCAGTAGAAATGATATTTATTAAGGAACTCTGGTTTTATATGTTTAAACTTTTCTGAAAAGAGGTTTGTAGAATATTTGTTGCACTTTAAAATAGATTTGGAGTTCTTTGACCACTCTGCTTAAAATACAAATAATGATTTTTCGCCTCATGTTCTGATGAAAGATTTGCCCACATTTCTCTCACATATATTTTTTCCATAATTTTCAAATTACGGTTCTACAAACGGAAACACAAAATGTTTGTAGAAATTATTTAATCTGGGCTAAAATATAAACCTCTAAAACCCATCCATTGGTGGAACGAACTATCAAAAGATTAACTTTGGTTAGAATCTTTCCAATGTTTTCTAATTTGTTTTCTTTTGGAATTTCCGCTAGATAGGAAATAGAATCGAAACAGTTTTTTCGTTCAGTTACTGGTTTAGGAAAACCTTTTTTTCAGATACCATTCCCGTTAACGGGTTTTATGTCAGGAATACTAAAGCAATCAATATGAGAGAACTCAATAATTAGATCCTTCGCTGAATGATTTTCCAATTATCCTCATATTATTTAGTTTTCCAGCAGTTGGTTATGTTCGTCTCTAGCCACGATGCACCAGTTATTTAACGGCTTTATTCACAGTGTACTACTTCAAGAATTGTAAAAACATTTCCAAACTGAGGAACAATAAATATTTTCCAGACAATGATAATATTATTAAGTTGATAACATTTAATAATTTTCAGGGCTTATAAAATAAAAACGCAGCAAAAATGGCTTCCGTTCTTTACTAATATATAGTGCGCAAAATGACATCGTTTTGATACATTGCTTCAAGTCCGTCATGACAATGTTAGTGTTATTTTCTTCTTTTTAAAGAAACTGTTTTTAATGCAATGTAATACGTTTACTTAACAACTTGGAACGAATATTCAGCAAGTAATATGTTGAGAAACCCAAAAATTCAAAACTTGGGATTAGACACAAAACACACACATACACACACACAAACACACACACACATACACACATGTATATATATATATATATATATATATATATATATATATATATATATATATATATATATATAAACGTGACCATTGAAGTCAACACTCAGAGGCGACAGACCATTTCATTTTAAAGGCAATCTTTAGGCCAGCGATGTCTGTGACCTGATGATTGCGTTTGCAGAGCAACGCAGAGTGTTGAATTCAATGTTTATGTTTACATACGTTCTATCATTAATATTGATCATTTTATTCGATAAATATATCATGCTTTAAAAATATATATGACACACACACGTGCACACACATACACACACGCGTACACACACACACACACATATATATATATGAAGAAATATAATTTTAAGGTGTGCTAAAGTTATGAGATAAAGTGCTCAATATCAGAGATAGAACGTATGTAAATATACAAGTGAACATTGAAGTCAACACTCAGAGGCGACAGTTTGTTTCATGCTGGCCGCAATCGTCAGGCGGCCTGACAATTGTGTCCAGAATGAAACAGACTGTCGCCTATGGTGTTGACTTCAATGCTCACTTATATATATATATATATATATATATATATATATATATATATATATATATATATATATATATATATGTGTGTGTGTGTGTGTGTGTATATATATATATATATATATATATACAGAGAGACAGACAGAGACAGAAATGATTGAGAGGTAAATAGATCGTTAAAAGTAATGTTCTCTTTTCTAACAAATACCTGTTATTTTTTTCCTTAAATCAATAACCATTACACAGAGCGAACCAGGAAATTGAAAAGACATGTTTAGCAGACCATAAATGGAATATGAAATATTATTCTAATCTTGTGTGACACGAATCAAATGTTAACATTTATAATTCCTTTTTCAGACATATCGAGCGTAGTAATATGGCAGCTTCCCGTCTGTGATTCGAAATGAAAATGAACTTCGTGGCAACAGCTGCAATCCACAATTTCTCAGAGATAACGAACTCATTGGAAACTATACAAACCACGTGTACATTTGTACGAACACTCTGGAATTATTCACAGATGAATACCAGTTTAAAGTCGTATTTGATGGGTCTGACGGCCGGGTGCATATAAAGTGTCGGACATACTTACGAAAATGGGAATGTTTCTTGTCTAAAGCAAATTAAAATATATTTGGTGTAAAATTCATATAACGGTAATGTCACCCAACCGTGTTTCTTTCTGCAAGGTTTCAGGATCGCGGTAGTCATTCCTCAAATTGAGGGTTGACTGTAGGTGTTCAGTCAGAACTCTGCCCTTTCCCTTACGTGGGACTGAGTAATAAGCATCTGAGAAGTCTGAAAATATTCAGTGGCCCGTAGATTTAATAATGCATCAAATGTGTGTGTGGTATCATCGAGAAAGAAATCAAGCAATAGCCTTGCAGTACCAAAAAGTAGTAAAAAGCGTACACGTAGAATAATTTTGGGACGATGAACAAGAATCTGGGACAGCTGCTTTTTAGCGACTACATCTAAACTGATAATTTTTTTTTCATGCAATCATTTTTCCTTTTTGAAGTAGAACGTGTAAAATTTTTCGTTTAAATAAACTGAATTCAGTTTTTAGCTAGGATATGTTATAAATTTTCTAACTGACTCATAGACTATCTTTTTAACTCCCGTCTATTTGTCTCATGATTTCTCATACACAGTAACGAACTAAGTCTTAGTGGAATTATTGCCTTACTTTTGGTGAGTGGAGTAAAAATCTCAATCACTCTCACTGACACACACGCACGCATATATATATATATATATATATATATATATATATATATATATATATATATATTATATTATATTATATTATATTATATTCCGAAAGTCATTTATCCAACGACATCTAGCGTCCTGGATATTCGAGAAATATTCTCACAAAAATTGTGCGTTCCCTGGTAGCATTATGAACCTGCATCGCCTATATGGAATTGTCATTAGAAGTGACGTGCCAAAGCGCTCGTCCAGCTAGAACCTACGCTCCGATAACGCCTGAATATTTACTTTTGAAGACACTTCTGTAAAGATTTTCGAAACAGCCAAATCTGTATTGTATCGTACTCGAACGTAAACAAAGATCATTTATTTTTAAAAAAATGAATTAAATCCGACATATCTTTTTTTTATTTATTTTGCTTAAGCGTTATTTTTATGAATACTCATATTCAAGTAGAACCTCTGTTTTTCCGTTAAACAGTATTTTTTATTCAACTTTATTTGTTATTCAACTACATCTATCGGCTTGAATCCCGTAAGATTCGAACTTGCTTCCCCTATGTTGAGGAGTTATTCTCATATATTTTTTGGACAAGAATATTCAGGGGGAAAACTTAACAAATTTCATTTTACACCAAATATATTTTAATTTGTTTTAGAGAAGAAACATTCCCATTTTCGTAAGTATGTCCGACACGTTTTTTAAGAATGGCCTCCCTGAAATATCTGACCGTCAGCAATGTCTTTATTATTCATTTCCGTATTCCATTGTGTTTACGTATCAAGAGGCTTTGAAATTCATCCCTTCAAAATTTTAAACTTTAAAATTTAAAGTAATTTTTACTTTTTTTAAATTCATATTTTACGAAATATTTTTTTTTATTTTATGTATTTATTTTAGTGTGTGTCATAATTCATAAGTCTTTTTTAGAAGGTTTGTACTGTTTAATATTTTTAATTTTATTCTTTTTTTGAGAAAGTTAATTTCATAAAAACGCAAGCTTATAAAGATAAGTAACTAACATTCGATAAAGTATTAGATAATTGCTGAAAATATTTCGTTATTTAAAAAAAATTACCAGGTAATTAGAAACAATAACCAAACGTTACATTTTGTAAACTTATGTCACTTTCTGGTCTAAAATACTTTAGCTGTCAACATCGGAAGCTGCTAATAAATCCACCAGCACGTCAGAAAAACAAGACTCCGTATTTAAGAAATTCTTGTATACCACGTTTAATGCTATAAATAAGTAATTTTTCTTTACAGATCAGTTACATTTAACTTTAAATTTGCTAATTTTCCTCAAATAACGGGTCTCATATATAATTTATTTTTGGAATATTTCTTAAACCAATAATTAACTTTTGTCTACAAATGTGTCAAAATGGCAGATATTTATCGATTTTATAATATTTTTTTTTCCAACCGACCGAAAAGTTCAAATTCCAGTCAATATAATTTCTATATGAAATACACCAGCGTCTATTGCTTATTAGAAATAGTATATTTAATCATTTAGCTTTCAATTAAAGCTAAAAAAGAAAGCTTCAAGAATGCCTTTTCCTATCTAAACAATCATTTTACTCCTTAGGTGTATTTAATATCCACTCGAATGTTTTAATCAGTCAGAGTTAAAAAAATTTACAGTAAGACACACTGAAATATTTGTCATTTCATAAAATCAAATTTTGCGTGAAAAACCGTGAAAATGAAATAGTTAATAAGATTCGCTGAATTAACAGAAAACAAAAAATTGAATTAAAGTTAGTGAGAAGGAGCTGACGAGTGGCAATATGGAAGAGTAGCCTCATGAATGTGTATTCACGCTCATACAATCACGTGGCCCTATTCAGAAGTTAAAATAGTGATTATACGATCAATAACCGATCGAAGCGGTCGTAACTCATTCTATAACCCTCGTCGTACAAGAAACACAAGCATTGCTTAAACAAGTCTGAGGAAATGTATGAGATTTGTTAAACTGCTAAATATAATTTCGGATACTTTTGCCAAAATTATCATTCTTATTCTCCTCCCCAAACGCAGTCATCCCCGCGTTCTCCTTGCTTATCTCCTCGCTACTTGTGACGTTTTGTGGATTTATAGATCAACGAAGCGTAGAAAGTTTCGTTAATCATAGGGGCAAATATGGCAAAGTATGGGGAAGAACATTGCATCTCACCAAAATTATGCTCGGTTCAAACCTAACTATATATTAAGGCAAGAATCGAGGATGTAAGCTGATCTCGAATACCAATAATTCCTCTTCTTCTACATGCCGTATTCTCTCAGGACGTGGGCGATCATGACTCTCCACAATTTCCTGTCCTTGTATTTCTTAGTAATATGTTTTTATATCTCTCCTAATCCCTGTTATGCCAACCATTTACACAAACTCAATTAATAGATTATCCGCAACTTTCCACCGTCTCTCTTGTCTTCAATATTTTCACATTTTCTAAGCAATATTTCATTATGCACTCTGTAAATCCCAATCCTTTCTTTATCATTTTGAGAATCTATTTTTCTATTTTTTTTCTACTTCTTCTTCATTGCTTACATTGTCAGTCCATGGCCTTCTCAGAACTGATTTCTTTTGTCGTATGTGGTTTCATTCTCGTGTGAGGAGATTGTCCCACGGAGATGGACTGATAGGAAGACCGATATTATGTATCGGTTAAGTACTCTTTGTTTCTAATGATATTTTCCTCTTTTTTTAATACTTTGCATAGATTTTAGTACAATAACTTTCTTTATTCCAATCCACTTTCGGATTAGTGAGATATATATTTTCGGCTTCTGTTAAAATTGCTGCAACTGTTCATGATAAGCTGAAAAGATTATTTTTTAAGTGATGAAGGAAAATCATATAAAAATTGACAAAGATATACATATATACATATATATATCTAGATATCTAGATAGATAGATAGATAGATAGATAGATAGATAGATAGATAGATAGATAGATATATACATGTGTGGGCGTGTGTAGAATATGATAAAAATAGTTTATGTTATCCTCTATTTATCGGCAAATGTGGTCAATATCAACAATAAAGTGTGTGCAAATATAAAAGTAGAAACTGAGATGAACTATGTATAGAGACCATGTGCATTGAAGGATCAACTCTTCATATATATTGTTCAATGGGGCATTAAAGGTGCTAAGGTCAGTGTAGTCAGTTAACTTTGTTGTGATTATGCGTGCATTTGTACAGTTTGCTACATTTTTATTATTTATCTATTTGTTTTCTTTGTGTATTTAATTTTTCTATTATTTTTCTTTTGTGTGTTTTGGTATTTTATTTTTGTTTGTTTAAATTTTGGCTTTGCTGCGAGATATGAATTGGATATTTTTGCAATTTCCTTGATGTTCTTTTACAAGGTATATTTTTTATATTTTGATTTTTAAGCAAGGTATTAAATATTTGTTTTCGCATCCGTGTTTTATATAAATATTCATTGTTTATTTATCAATTTGCGTTGGTCTAGAAAGGTGATTATAGCTATATATTCCTCCAGATAAAGTTTCCTGTTTTTCTTTTTATTTATATTTGAAGGCTGATTCTGCTTTCGTTATTTTCATCATATATTTGTGTATTTTGTTTTTATGTTCACATATGTGTTTAGCATGTGATGTGCTTTCAGAGTATTTACTCTTCTTTAAGTATTAAGTGCTTATTTTCTCTGTTTCTATAGTTCCTCCCTTATCTACTATATTTAAAGTGGCGTAGTATATATTAATATGCTGGTAATTGTCCTGTGAAGGTTATCCAAGCAAAATTCTGCAATTACAGAGAGGATTGTAGCGTATGTTTTTATGTTTTTTCATTTTTCGGTTGTGTCTTTTTTTTATTATTTATGCCATATACTCAGTACAATGCAGCTGTTTTATTTTGCGTTCCTATCTTGATGTGAATATTTTTTCTCATTTTTTTTTAATATATTGTTGTATGATGGGATACTTAAATATTCGACAAACAACCCAACAATCCTAACTGCAATGCCGCGTTTAACGGGGAATCGGGGTTCGATTCCGGAGAGGGAGCATGCGAAACGGCTACCACATCCAAGGAAGGCAGGTTTGAATAGTGTAAACATATCTAGGAGATTAAAAAAAACAAAGAAACAAATCCCCCATGAATAACGTGAAAAAAAAGGAAAACGACATCACCTACTATAATCAATCCAAAAACTGTAAATACGGCATAGAAGAAAAATAGGTAAAATTACCTTCTTAGACCAAAACAAACTATTATATAAAAGATCAGAACTCATCTCAAGATGTTGACACGAAAACAATTTTTACTATACTAATAAAAATCGAAAACTGAAAACGAACAAGAAAAAACGAAAATAAATAAATGAAATAAAATAAATAAATAAGAGAAATGAATTAATATAAACAAATAAATAAGTAAATAATAGACAAATTTACAAACCATGAAAGTATAGATAAACAGAAGAAAACGTAATAATAACAACCAACAATAAATAATCAATAGTAAATGACTAACAACGTTATAAACCGACTAAAGACTGCATTGAGACCCACAGTTCTTACTACTCAATAGCACTACAATAATTCGAAACTATACATATATACACTTGCAACACAGACACACAAACGAACATACATGCACATATACTATATGTGTTACAGCCAATTGTTTGTATATTGTACATACAGATATACACACACACACACACACACACATATATGAAGAGGTGCTTATAAATTCCATCGGTGCGATCGGATAAATATTTATAAATCTGGTCGTATTTTATTTAATCCATTATGTTTTTTTTAAGTAATCCACACACGCATGTACAAAAACACATATATGTGCATCTGCTTGTGTATCTACTTGGGTATAACACACCTACTTTATTGCATTCCATTATTGTATATATATATATATATATATATATATATATATATATATATATATTTACCCAACCAATGTATTGGTAAATCTTCAAAATCATCACTATAATAATACTGTCAAAGGAAAAAAAAATAGAAAAAACAAAGAAAACGAAAAGGAAAGAAAGAAAAAAATCAAGAAAATTATAAATTGGAGGAAAGAAAAAACAAAAAGCAAAAAAGAAAGTAATCTATCGATGGAATATGTTTATGTGTTCAATGCATCTAGAAATTATATTACCCCAGAGGGGTAATACCAACGAACCAAACTCCGGTTTATGTAGTCTTTATATCTCTTCGTCTAAAACACACATTTACTGACTGCTGGATTCTCTTTTAGCTTTTATATAGATGGTGCTGTGCTGCCATGTAGACAAGGTTACACCTGCCATTCGTATACATTTGTGGTTAATGGTTAACGTGCATAGTAGTGACTTACCTGAGAAGTGTTACGTTTAACAATGGCAGGATAGTTATATCGTAAACAAGCAGATATGAGTTTTGAATAAACGAATGATAATGGACGCGAGGCTGCACGGTTGTATCAGATTGCGTATCCAGACTGAAGGCAGCCGAGTCATCCAACATTTGCTGTTGTTCATCTTCACGTTACTGAGACAGGATCCGTCATGCCACAATCTATAGATTACGGATGACCGAGATCGGCTCGTAAGTCTGACCACGTAGAACGCATATTCCAATCTGTCGAAGTCTGTTATAGGGATAAGTGGCCCTAGCGAGACCTACATTTCATAGTACCGCATAGAGGGTACTTCAAGAGTAGCTACAGTATCCGCTTCTTTTGAAAATTGTGCACAGGAGAACTTTTGCCGACGCAAACACTGCCGATCCGTTGTTTGTATATTCAGTCTTGTTTACAGATGAGGCAACATTTCGAAGAAATGGAATAACAAATTTTCACAACCAACATTTTTTGGTGGATCGAAATCTCCATGTTTGAATACAGGCTAGAATAATGTGTGATCGGGAAATATATGTGACTCCCTGGTATATCCGTACGTTCTCTAGGCACTTCGTACAGGAGCTCTCTACAGGGAATTTATTTTGAACTCACTGACAGATTTGCTCCAGGATGCACCCTTGTTATACGAAGACGCATGTGGTCCATGCATGATGATGCTTCAGCACATTCTAATCACATTGTTCGTGTTGAACAAGCTGACATCTCCCATGAAAGATGAATAGGTAGTGGAGGACCGATTTCATGTACTGCAACTTCCACCGATTTCAAATTTTGGATTTTTATCTGTGTCGCCACCTAAAACAATTAGCTTATGCTTCAGACATTATTAATGCAGAAACACTTCATCAACTTGTCATGGAATCGGGACAAGGCGAGGATTTGACATCGCCTGAGAGTAATTTAAAAGGTTCCGCCAGTCAACGATCCAACGTGTGCCAGAGTTTGTAGAAGCAAGTGAAGACATTTTGAACATTTGTTATGAGTTGGTTTCTTGAGTTACACAGATGTCCTTTTGGGCATATGTTTATATGGACATATTACCTTGTTTTTCGTATGAGCAACCCGCCTCGAATTTTGTAAAAGTATTTTTGATAACCCCCCCACACACACAAACAAACACTTATATATATATATATATATATATATATATATATATATATATATATATATATATATATATAATGTAAATCTATTTGGATTCGGTGGGTGAAAGAACCTTGATAGCACAATTACAGACTATCAAAAATCGAGCACTTTATTAAATGCATGGTTCATTTCTTTGTGAATATAAGATGTGTGACTGCGCATGTTTGGAGATGTTAAACCGAGCTGATTGTGTTAAGCATTTTCAGATGAGAACATGAAAAAGAGAAACTTTGTTACCAATCATCCATAGATCTTTTATCTAGAAATTCAGAATTTTGAATTTTAATTGAATTCGAACAATGACCACTTGTCTTTCTATGATATTCTTTCTAATGCAATTTGTAATGCGTGTATGTGATTCTGCCCGTGATATGTCACTGCATGTATGAATTAACAAAATGATTTCGTTTGTTTAAGCTATGTAATTTTATTAACTTAATATGAACACTGTCAGAAATATTGTAATTACATACTATTTTTAGCACATCTTGCCTACCACATATGCGGGCTATCTTCGATAAAAATTCGTCTTGTATATGTATATATCCACTCTTTATATTACATTCTACTGGATTTGCGATGAGATGGTTCGTATAAATTTTAAATTGACAATTACGAGAGTGCTATTACTCTGTTCAATACTCACGCACATCCGTCTCTGGATGGCTTTGTTCAAAACTTAGGGTCAGGTATTCACGTATAATTAATAATGTCCATCTTTTAGAAGGTTTCTTCCCGAATAATCACTTGTACCAGGCCTTGGGTCAAGTATGCCGCCAATTGGACACTCTCCAGAGAAGCAAAGGTGAGAATATTTCAAATTATATCGCAAATCAAAAATACGGGGAACTAAAATATTTTATCTTAACTGCAATATAAATCGTTCTAATCCCATTTCTGCTAATAGGACAAAAACTGATAATACGAATAGGGTAGGTCAACCTTCATTGTGGATGAGGCATACTAACTTGAAATACCAACATTCATAATGTTGGCATTTAAGTGGATGAAATTTTGAATATTTAAAATTATACACTTATCTTAGCCACCGTGCAGTCTAAATAAATCGTAGCTATGCATTACATTTGACATAGATTTGGTGGAACCCCAAATAAAATGTTTTTACTTTAACATGTGGAATGCATTGCTGTCTAACATATTCAAACTATACTGTGAATCATTTAAAAACATCATAGTTAATAACGCAAGGGTATATTTTCTAGTGACTACTCATTATTGCAATGTCTGGAAACCACCAACAGATAAAAAGAACAATATTACTTCTGGTTGCCTATAAAAAGCCAACGATTTAGAAAAACATGAGACAGATATTAATTATGAAAACAATATATAAGTTCCGTCCTGGGTATGGCGATAAAATACATCCGCGTCCTGGGTAAAACGATAAACTACGTCCAA